CTGTGGTTGGTGCAATGTGAAGTTTGTGATTACTCTTTATTCAAGGCTGTGGTTGGTGCAATTGAAAACAACACACATAAGGGAGATATGAGGATAGGTAAGACACCTAAAGAACTAGATAGCATTTGTTGCCCTCAACGCAGAGAAACTAAAGCAGATACCTTAAAAGCAACTGAGGCCAATAGGAGAAGGGGACCAGGAACTAGAGAAAAGGTGAGATCAAAAAGAATTAACCTAGAAGGTAACACACACGCACAGGAAATCAATGTGAGTCAACTCCCTGTATAGCTATCCTTATCTCAACCAGCAAAAACCCTTGGTCCTTCCTATTATTGCTTATTCTCTCTCTTCAACAAAATTAGAAATAAGGGCAAAATAGTTTCTGCTGGGTATTGAGGGCATGGGGGTGAGAGGGAGGGGGCAGGGTGGGTGATAGGGGAGGGGGTGGGGGGAGGGGGGAGAAATGACCCAAACATTGTATGCACATATGAATTAAAAAAAAGAAAACAATGCATATGCAAGGCTGTGACTGGGGGAATGACAATCTAAGCACAAGCACACAATGCCCCTTTTCTGGATATATAAGCAGAGACTTGTCACTCTTTTTATGTTAGCCTAGGAGGCCTCTCCCCTTTGCAGTATACTACTAGGTGTTCCAATACAAGACCCTAATAAAGACTTCTTTCAAATGGACTCTTGCCTACATATAGCCTCAGTCATGGGTAGATAAGATTGAACTGGATGCACAAAGAGCATATATAAACCTGGGGATACCATCCCTGGAAGTGGCAGGGACAGCAAGGAGGTAGATGGAGAGTTTCAGAGGGTCACCAGAAGCTGAGGACTCCAATACCTGAAGTCAAAACTGTTTCACCAAGAAGCAGCTAAATGTTCCAGAGGGGCCCTGAGACCGAAGGTTCCCAACCCCCAAAGCTCTCAGTTGTAACTCTAGGAGGCAGGTGAAGGGGTCCAGAGAGCAACCAAGGCAGAATCGATCAGAAGCTGATATGAAAGAAGATGAGTCCGTGAGGAGCAGAAAGCGGGAGTCAAGATTATAAGTATGGCCTTTTTTCAAAACTGGAGGACACAGAGGGAAAACTGGTCCTGTCGGGGGTTGGTACCAGAGGGATGGGGAGGATATAAGGAAAAGTGTAGGATGGTGAGCCCGGTGGAAATATATGTATGAAAACGAAAAACAATGAGACCTATCGAAACTATTCTAAGAAGGGGAGAAGGGGAATAAAGAAGAATGATGAAGGGGTGAATTTAACTAAGATATATTGCAAGCACTTTTGTAAACACCACAATGTAGCCCCAGTACAACAATAATATGATAATAAAAATAAAATTAAAAAGACTATAAAGACTGAAAGCCTCAGTTTCTAGAAGAACTGGAGAGGGCAACCGAGGTTAATGAGCTAAGAGTCCCTGTCAGCCAAAGTTCAAGAGTTAGAATTCTGGCTGCTGGGTGTTGGCATTTTAAGCTCAGGGGCATAAGCCTCTTCCTTGAGCACATATAGCAGTAAGCTTCTGACTTAGAAAGCCTGGAAAGCTTGGAATCATAAGGCTCGTATTCTCAGGGCTTAAAGCGTAAAGCCTCTGGGATCGGAAGTCCAGGTGTGAGCCTCTGGGACTCAGAGTCATCAGTGCTAATGGATCTGTTTATCTACCCACAATTTATATCAGGATAGAGTGAAAGAATCCTCAGGAAAACAAGTGTGACTATTCGCACCCACTGGTAAAGGAGGCAGCCTCCATCCACATGTGCCTCTTGGGTTAGCGCTCTGGACTTAGAGCTGCCCAATACAAAAAATAGCTACACTGATTAGAAGGCGGCTATTATCTTTCTTCTGAGTTCTTATCAAATTCAGTTGAACTGAATCCACACAAACAGAAGGCCTGGGGCTTGATATTCAAGTTTTGAGGCAGAATATGAACTATGAACTCTGCTAAAGGTCTTATAACCCTTCTTGTTAAAGAGAATTGATATATTCTAGAAGGAAATTGACTGGCATAGGAACATCTCAACTCTAATGGAGAAATAAAAAGCCGTGTCTTCTGCAATTTTCATACCTCTTCCAATTCTTGATGCAAAGTCACTGGTTTTATGCCCCACTCCCACCAGTTTATTACGAGTTCCTTAAATGCCTGACCGTTGCTAACTGGTGGGTAAAAGAAGCTGACCTCTCATGGTGGGCAGTGGATTTTTGGGTCTGTTTAGTCGTGGGGTCAGCCCTTTTGAGCCTGACACAAGCAAGGTCCCATGACTCAATGGTAAGAACTCAGTTTTTGGGTTATATCCCTATTCTATCTGGTCTTGCACATTGAAAGCTGTAGATGGTCTTTGGAGCTGCAAACTGGAAGCTATAATCATCCATCCAGCTGCCTGAGAAAGTCACTTGTTTCTAAGTACAAATAACGTACATTTTCTCTGCAGAGCTGACCACAGTCAAGCTCCAGTTCAGGCCTTAACCTGTGTCTGATCCAGAAGCCATCACTGCATGGCAGAATTGTGGGTGTTGGTGAAAGTCGACCTATTTGTCTTATGGTTGGGTAGACCTCTGACCACTCCTAGCAGAATGACATCATTGAACATTCATGGTATCTATTTGCTTGTCCCCAAACAGTTGATGTTCTCAGCAGACCATTCAACTGAACTCAGCTACATTGTGTGACCCAAGAAACTATTCCATGCCCACATTAAACTCTTAGGACAGTTAAGACTTTGAAATGCTATGTCTTTTGTCATTGAATATACATTTTAGTGTCTTTTAAAAAATCATTTTAGTATCATATTTTAGACCATTTTAGGTCTGACTGTCTAATTTTATTTCATCTTCGTCCTCCTATAAATATCTTGGTTGAGTAATCTCTTCTTACATGCTTACCAAGATACCCAAATTTAAAGTTATCCCCTGACCATTTCTGGGAAACTGTTTTTCTTTCCTTTACTGAAAGGTGCAGAAGTCCTGGTTTTCACTCTATCTGATTAGCAGCCCAGCCAAAAGGGTGTTTGTGAGAGTAAACTTATTTCAGGTTAGGTTTTATGGAACCACCTTTGTTTCTCTTTTACCTGCTTCTTCTAGATAAAATATCTAGGTGAATGTATGGGATGGTGGAATTACAGGTACTGAGATAGGACACACTGCTTTTGTGGAGAAGAGAGATCAAGAACTCAAAACATGGTGATTGAAAGCTTGGACCCCAGTCCCTGTGATTCATGGGAAAATATTCTCACCTATGTGAGAATCAACATATGTGTTTGTGAATCAACCTGCGCAGAAGCCTAGAGAATTTTCAAGAGATAATATTGGTCTGGGACAATAGTTAGAACAGTGAAGCCAGATGTCAGATCAGAGCTATAATTTATCTTCACTAATTCTCCCCATATGTTCCTCAAGTACACTTTGAAACTTTTCCATCTCTCTGGGAAGTAGGCATGGGATTCTAGTGTGGAGATGCCAAGCTGTCATAGGCCACAGTCACTTTAGATGATAGGAACTATTGATCTCACACTGAGGAGAGGGACTATCTCATGACCGAGGTCTCTACTGAACACTGTAATATATTATTACTGATTTGTCCCAAGTAATTCATAGTGAATCGTTTTCATATAACTATGAAATATAATGCATGGAAGACAAATGTTGTATGGATGAAATATGCAATTATCTAAATATAAAACATTCAAAACTCATTATGTACTATGCAAATTATAAAGGATGAACTAATACTCACAAATTTATTTTTTCCTACATGAAGTAGGAAAAACTTTATATACTAGAAGATAGCATTTTGACAGCTTACATTGGAAAAATATAACAATGCAAAAAAAGCAATATACATGTGAGATTTAACACCCTATAACAAAATAGGAACAATTAAAATTTATAACATAGAAATTTAAAATAAGACAAATAACACAAACCAACTGTAGAGCAAGGATAATCAGTAAACATTTAATATACATGATCCAGTTCTATAAACACTGTGTTTTCAACACATTGAAAAAATACAAATGTTTCACAGAGAATGTGATTAAATCCTTCTGAACATCAGCCCTCCATGGGCTGGAGACAGACAGGACATTGAAGAGCAACAGACATTTCAGATGCAATAAGGAGGAAAGAAATGTTTATTTTGCTACACTTTAAATATACAAACCCATCAATGTTCCTCCAAAATATGTTTTCTGATAATGAAGAAATACATGACTCTCATAAGTTATCAAACATAACGAATTTTTACATTAAATTTAACATTTTAATTTTAGTCCTCAGTGACGGAATTCATAATTCCGAGTACATACTTCAAACACCTTTCAGAGGGGGTGAATTCCAGTATGATATACTTGATGATATAAAAACCCTTGTGAATGCCACAGTGTACCCCTACCCAGCACATCAATAAAAAAGGAGATTAAAAAAACCCAACTTTCTTACAAAATAGACATTCACCTATGTATGCTCACAACTATAATTTTAGCCCAATAACTAACTCGCTTTGCTCAAAAGCCTGCTTTGGGTTCCACAAGTTTTAATAGGACATTTCTTGTCTTTCTCATTGTTCTATTTCTCTCCTCAGCCATCATTCTCCCTTGGGAGAGAATTCAACAAGGTCACTACACTCCAAGAAAGGTCGTCATGCTCCTCTTATCTCACTGACCACAAAAATATCTAATACAAAAGCAAATAAGAAAAAATTGCCACTCATGCAAGCATACCAAAAACTCAGTAAACCTGAGGCTACTGGATTTTTCCTAACTCATTCTGCACCATGCACATCCAGAATCCCATGCTTTGGATGTACCCTAAAGCTCACCCTTCCCCCTTAGGAAGGTCATTTCTCTTCTTCTGCCTGGCAAAATTAGTAAAACTTTATTTCCTTTTCCCCTAAAACCTTGATCTCACTACTTGTAAATTCACATTAAGTTCAGGAAAGCAGATTTCCAGTATCGTGACCACTTCATGGTTCGTTATTTATTCACATAATATCTAAAATCATCCCTGCCAGTCATCCAGAAGATTCTGAGATGTAGTAGGATTTGTTCTCCCCAATGTATCTCCTCTGCAGAGTAGGACACATGACCCTAGATCAGGGCTGTACTCATTCACTGACACCATCTCTTTTCTCCCCACCAGTGCAAAGTTGGGCCTAACGCCATCCAGTAAGGAACTCTAAGATTCTTCCTTATCCCAGGACAGTTCCTGAGGAGCAGACATTGAAGCTGGGACAAGCCAGCCCTCAGCAGGGAAGGCACTGGCTGCCTGGGTGGCCATGGTGTAGCAGGCCTGCACCATGGTGGACAGAGGCTCCCAGAGCTGAGTGAGCTCAGAGAGCTGCTCCCAGGTGAGTGGGGAATGTACCTGCTGGGACTGCATCTGGGCTATGTCTTGATAAATTGCTTCAGACATATCACGAAGAAAAGTCACCAGATTTTTCCTAAGTGGGGGCGGGTTGTCTTCTGAGTACCAGGATCTGGGCTGCATTCTCTGCCCATCGTTGCCACGCAGGCGTCTTCTTTTGCAGTCATCACGGTTCTTCTCAATTCTCCTCTTTCTATCATCAGAGGCCTTTTGTCTCTTTTCCATAGTGAAACAGCAATCATTTCCTAGACAGTTCCATAGGGAGGAAGCATGTGAGATACTCACTAGAAAAGATCTTACAGGTCCTCATTACAGGAATGTCCTCAAATGTGTCAGAACTGACCTCTCTCTCTCTTTCCTCCTTCCCAAATAGCTCAGCCTGTGTCATGAAGCAAATCTGAACCCACCCATCCTCAGCCCTAAATGCTTTATAGATCTTTGGAATTCTAAAACTCAGCCACTAAAAAAATCCACTTGTTGCCCAAGCAACTAACTTTGTTAGATGCTAGTCTGCTTCTTGGGGCATAAAGTAGGAGCCTACCTTTTCTAACTTGACTGGTGTTCTCGGAACTGATTTTCCTCTTTCTGGAGCTTTCTTCGTCTGAGCTGAACTGTGATTCTGTGAATAAAATGAGTTTCAAAAAACACCTCCAAGTGGACACCCTACAAGCTCAACAAAACACACAAGGAGCTGAGATTGCAACCAAAACTTGATTCCTAGCTGTTCTAGGAGGAGTTTTAAAGCACTAGATATCAGGGAGAAGTTGGAACTATGTCAGGGGAAAACAATCCCATCCTCTGTACCTCCTCACATTGGAAGAATCAAAACTTACCTGATTTAGCAATGTTGTCTCTGCCTTCAAACTTGCTTTTGTTGGCATTCTCCTCATTTAGGTTTGGCTCTGATCCTAAAGCAAAAGACAGTTTAAGTGATTGACTTAGTCACACAGATCCCCTAGTGTTCCCTGACCCACTCATATTTGTGGGTCATTCTTTGAAATGAGGCACTTCTATCAGTGTCAAGAGTGAACTGTAACAAGTTTGCAGGCAATCACTGCCACCTTCTCAAGTCCTCCTCAGATCAATAAGCCAGGATCCTTCTCCATTCTCAAGATGAGACCGTCCCAAAAGCACACAGTCAGTATCTATGATACTACTCCTCCTGCTATCTCTGTGAATAGCACAAGCACCTACCCTGCCTTTGGATACAGCTCTCATTGGAGTTAGAAGAGACAATTTTGCCTTTCACTTCCGAAGCTGTTTCCTCATCTGATTTCCTACATTTAAAAGTGATTGTTTGGAAATTGAGGTGGTGCATGGAAAGACAATAAGGATCTGGGTAGTCAGTTTCCAATTCCATGTTCAATTTAAGTTGAACGGCACACTCTCTTGCCCGGTGAGTGTGAGAATGTGTTTTGGCCGGCTGGGCTTTGCCTTTATAAGTCCCTCTGATGGGCGTGGCTTTCTGTAATTGGCTGAAAAGCTTCCTCCTTCCTATTATTAATCTGCTTCCTCCTTATGGATAACAAAGCCAGGAAACACAGGGACAGAAAGGCAGGACACTAATTCCCATCTGAATTTGGCTCAATTACATCCAAAAATACTTAAGACACTATGCAGATTGAAAGATATGGTGTTAAAGAGTCATTATATTGACATGTGCACCAATATTCTGCAAATGAGGAAAATATTCTATAATAATAAATAGTTTACATGTGTCAAAATTACATGCATATATTTTGAAATTTCTCAAATACTTTGGAATGACAAGTATTAAACTATAGTTGATTGTATTAGATGCACATGTATCTAAAATAGAATGAAAAGGCAGAGGAAAAAGGAAATGGCAAATATACTCTTCTGTCTTGAAAATGCAGGTAATCCTTAGATCAAATGTGATTGCACTGAATTTATTAGGTTTGCACCAGTGAAGAGCTAATCTAATACTTATGTATCTTCAAAAATTCAAAGCAGAGAGATACATATCCCTTCAGCTTTACCCCTCCCCCCGCCCCGCCCCAGTTAATTGGATTACTGTTCTTGAGTGGATTAACAGACACCTAGGGTATTAGTAAAGAGCACATTCGGGTGTGACCTTGAGGGCCAGTGAAGATAATTACATCACTAGGGCTCAAACCTAACGAATGGTTTAATCCATGTGTGGATTCAAAAAGTGAATAGACTATTGGGGCTGGTGGAACTGTGGAAGGTGGTGCCTGGTTGGAGGAAGTAGGTCACTTGGGTTAAGTTCTTGGGAGCTATATATTACCCTGACTTCTTTCTGGCACTTCTCCGATCTACTTTGTGTCCACCATGAATGAGGTAAGCCGCTCAACTCTGCCATAACTTCCCTCCCTGCCGTTGGACTGAACCTTCAGAAATTGTGATGAAAAAAAAAATCTTTCATCCCTTAGATTTTGTCAGGCATTTGATCACAGAGACTGAAATGTCCGACTTATATACTCTGTGTACACAGTCATCTCATATTTTACATAGAGAATTAACAAATAAGCAAAACAGGTATATCTTCTAGGGATCCTCACTTAGAATCCCCTTCCATTTTTTGCAGGATCATCGGAAGGAGTTGTATAGGGATAACCTGGAGCTGCTGGCTGAATGGAAATAAACTCAAAGAGAACACCCTCATGTCACATTGATGAACATCGGGGGCTAATGTGCTGGGAGTAGTGAAAGGTAGCATGTAGACATAAATGGTGACCACAGTAGAAGAGTGTAATTACAATTAATCTTCCTAACTCCACAGGTGACCAATCACTGTTAAGATCAAAGTAACCCATCAAGGCCAGAGGATATCGGAGGATGTTTTGAAGTCTGCCTCCCACCTATAGCTTGATCCTTTATTTCCCAAGTAAACCACACCCTAAACATCAGCTGCGCCTGGGGCTTGGTGTTTCACACAGGTAAAATCTCTTTAACTTAACAAGTTAAAGATCCAGGCCCAATGTCTGCACTCTCCACACCAGATAGACTAGGGGCTCCGAATTTTACAGTGTTAATCTCTATATCATCGGTCAAGCGCCCTATTTCACAAAGACAGATCAATATCTGAGACTTTCACACAGATAGACCATGGGCCCAAACTTTAAAAGATAGATCAAAGGCTGAGAATTTGGCAAAGGTAACCTCTATCCGATGAAACCGGGCCTGATAATTCCACAAAATGTGCTGGTAATGTTTTTCTTACTCTACAGAGGGACAGCTTTCAGCTGTTTGAAAGTGTACTTCTAATAAACTCTACTAACATTTTCACATCTCCACCTGAATTCTGCTCTCACTAGAAGCAAGAACTGAGGTCGATGCCAGCACTAAACTTTCTGATAACAGTTGGAGCTGACATGAAGGACAGATATCCTCAGCAAATTTCACAGGAATTTATATGTCTCCTTCAGCTTAAAACAGCAAGAGCTGTGCCCTTGCCTCTCAGCCCCAAGAAAGGGACAAAATACTTAGTCCAGGTGAGGCAGGACCAATGGATGAGGACATTAGAAATGAAAGAGGCTCAGAATCGATATGTGAGAAGGCAGTTCAATACCAGCACAGGGTTTATTGTGGAGAAGTGGTCCCATGGAGGGGTCTCCAACAAGAGCTGGAGCCCACAGTCACTTAGAGACTGGGGGTATTTATGAGGTGGGTGAAGAAGTCCAGGAAGGTCACTGGGCAGACTGAACTTTAATGGCTCTCTGATCCTCCCAAGATATGAGCTATAGGTTTAAGTAGACAAAAGGACTGGGGGCAGGGGACAAAGATCTGCATAGTTAAACAGTTCAGTCACAGGTGTGGTCTGGTTGGTCTCATTTGTGGTGGGGCCAACAATCTTGGTCAGGCAAGTGGTTTGGTGGTCTCATCCAGTTCTGGGATGTTATAACCTGGAAGGACTAATCTGGTTCCTGTTTGAGAGGATTCTTGGGATAACTGCCCTCACTAATAGGGTGGCAGCTCCTAGTGGCTCCAGTTCATTATCATAAAGATTATCAGTTTTGTCTTTTTTGGAATCCAAGGTGATTGTAAAGTGACTATAAAGAGAATGGCTTAGAGCAAAGACAGATACAAAATGGAGACAAAGATGCCAAGCTTTTCCTGTTTTTTAGTTCATTTGTGGGCTCAAGTAAGGAGTCAGAGCCTTTCAGCAAAGGCAACTTGAGTGCCTTCCTCTTACAATTCCCCCCTTAAATTTGAACATTCCTGTCTTGAGGAAATTAGAGATTCTTGGCCAGAGAAATTAGTACAGCTGGATTAGCTGACAGCTAAGTCAAAAGTACTTGTTTCAATCTAAAACTAGAAATGCCATGATAAAGCAGTCATTTTTTGTCCCTATTTAAATGGAAGGCCTGGGCCAAAAATATGAGTTTGCCTTCCATCAAAGGTGCTTGCAAGGGCCTGCGTGCCATGCATAAAGACACTTCTTTAAAAACCTCTTGCTTTAATAAATTTGGTAAGGTCTGGCACAGATGACTCCATGTGGGTTGTGACAGCTATCCCTCTGGTCTCTGAACAGCCTTCCCTGAAGATTTCTCCAATGAACAATTCTGGTTAATGAATGTTGTTGCCAGGATTACCAGTTTTCCAGGATTTTTTGATCAGGGCCCATGTCGGAGGGGAGGCAACAGGTCATATGGGAATCAGTGCCAATAAGACCCATTTGGCCAAGTTATAAGCAACTGAGAGGTCTAGAAAAAGTAGCCCTTAGCTGGTCTCCATTTTTAAATTTTTTGTCCTATCGATGATGTCCTAACATCTTAAAAATGCTGTAAGATGTCAATAGACAACAGTTAAAAGTTTTACAAGAAAAATACAAAAAGCCAACAAAAGAAAATGTTTAAAAAGACTGACAGATAAATACTTGCTACAATCATTTTCATGGGTTTGATTATAAATGCTCCAGAGAAGGACCCAGACTGCTAATGAGAAGACTTAGAATAGGTATGGTTAAAATACTAAAAAGCAGTTTAGTAATTTTTAAAACATTTAGCTATTTCTATAGTAAACAACATTTTAGGAAAATAATTATGACTGACATTACAACAACATTAAGTGGCCTCGTTACAAGTAGGAACACATGGACACAAGACACCTGCTTGGAAATTCTTTTTTTAAGCTTTGCATTTTTGAAGGATTATAAAATTGGGAAGTATAAATACAAAGGAGCTGGCAACCCTTAGCACCACAGCTGTATAGATGTTAGATATACATATTAAATAGCTCTTTTTTTGTAGCAAAATTTAGAAGTTTTGGCTAGGTAAGATAATAGATGTACAGCACAGATAAGTGTCAAAATTTTAGATCTCTTACAAGTTAGGGAGACAGCACCCATGATCCCAAATTGCCTCATTTTTAAATGTATAAGTGCATCTCATATACACAGCAACACTTATTTAGTTAAGACAAATAATAGTAGGTTACATTTCAAATAGCAGGATTGCTCAAATGGCAAGGGTTTTTTCTCCTCTGAATGTTACTGATTACAAATAACAGAAATACTAAAAGTTTTATTGACCAGATTTAGATATAATGCATTTTGAATAAAAGAGAGTATTACTTGGTCATTTTACATGTATCAAACTCACACATTTTTACTTTTGTAAATGTTTGTACAATATTTAGATAAAGTCTAGACACAGAACACAGTTATAAGGTGGTCATTTAATAGACCTTTACTTGAGCAAATACACATATGAACTCTGATTTGGGACTGTTTCAAATCTTTACAAGATCAACAGATGACATGAGTTTAATAAAATCCTTTTCCTAAAACACTTTTTATAGATGTTTCTCAGAGCAGAATAATTAAGACAGCCTTCTTATTTTATGGACATAGAGAATAAGGTTCTAGTTTAACATGACCCTAGAAAATCTTTCAGGTAGTAACTCTTAGGTTATGGTCAATTTAATCACACACTAAAGCTTTTATTAAACATTTTTAAGACTTACTCAGGACCTTCATATGACATTTTGAACTTTTGATGGTTTATCCCTATTCCCCTTATTTATCTTTTCCATATTTGGAACGATCTTCAGGACAAACCTTTCTTTACAAAATCCTTTTTTATTTAAAAGCACTCTCTTTTTCCCTTTAACTTGTTTTCAAAATGTACTCAATACTTTTCTATATCCTTTCTACTTCTTGGCTTATTGACTTTGTAACTTGTATTTTTAAATAACTTTTATAGGAATTTTAAATTAAAAAAATTGTTTTCTGATTAGCCTTATATTTTTACTATATAGACCCATGAAAAGAAGCAATTTTAAACTGTTTTTCTATACAATTAGTACCTTGAAGACACATTTGTTAGTAGATCTAATTTAAAAAGAAGTGAATGTTAATTACACTTATGACAAAATGAAACAGATTTAGGTTACTATCCATATAGTCCCTTTCTTTAATTCTTGAATGCCTGTATTTACTTAGACCTGGTTACAATAGGAGCTTTGAAAAACTGGTTTTCTTAAAGTGGCAGCAGCAGGGGTGTGGGAGAGTGAGAACAGAAGCAACAATTTTTACATTAATTCCACAGTAAGATTCATCCTAATGATGTTCACATGAAAATACATGCATATGCAAAAAGTTCTAAATTAGGCATACCATAAATGTCAATTTAAGTGCACATAGTTTCAAGAGCTCAGAAACATATAAAAATTAATTTAGTGGCCACAAGTACATTGATTAATTATTTCTCAAAATTACAGGAGCAGATTAAGATGTGCCCCATTCTATTCTTTTAGGAGTAATTTTTAGGAGGTTTAATAGCTGAAGCCAGAGTCAATGCTAGGGAATTATTTTGAGTCAGTCTTAGTTTTCAATAAGACTATTGCCATAGCTATCAGATTTTAGCTCTAATAAACCAATCATTATAGATGTACATGATAGACACACACACAAAAATACATTCAAAGACAATTACATTAATTTTGAGTATACTCTTAGAAACTGTCTTTTTCTCTTTTTTGGTAGTCTAGTCAGCAAGAATTCTTCCTAGGGGGCAAGATGGACTTAGCTTTTCATTCTTAAGCTGTTTTAGACTTAGTATGTCCCATGGTCACACAAATTTCAAGAGATATCTTCCACACATCCTGGTCCTCATACCTTGCGTCACTCTGAAACTGGAGTTTTGGACCCAAGGATGAGACTCCTGCCAGGTCCAGCCACCCACCCCTACATGCCAAATAAAGAGTCATGGTGAAGGCAGAGGAAGGAGGTTTATTGCACAATGGGGACATGCTGTGGGAAGAGGCAGAGTGAGCACTCAGCCCATCCTCAGCCATCTTTGGGGCACAGACATGAGCTATAGGTTTAAGTAGACAAAAGAACTGGGGCAGGGGACAAAGGTGTGCATAGTTAAATGGTTCAGTCACAGGTGTGGTCTGGTTGGTCACATGACTGGTAGGGCTGTTGGGGCCTTTAACTGGCAGCCCACCTAGCCTAGAAATCAGCTATAAGTGGCATGACCCTTGGGTAATCTCGTGAAGAGGAAGATAGCCTTGAAACAGGGTTGTAAAACATGGTAAACTGTCAATTAAAAGCTGTAACCTCGGACAGAGCTGTGAGGAATTGCTCATTAGAGCCATGCAAGAGTTCGGGACTGAGATAAAAGGCACCATGCACAGATAAGCACCCATCCCTGCTTTTCTTTGTCTCCACTTGTAAATAAACTTTCCAAAGCAGGACTCCCTGCTGTTCTTATCTAAACCTTAGGTTTCTATTCCACTACTAGCCCCTAATTTATGGGAGAACGCATTCCTTATAACCTGATAAGTAAGCCTCTGGTGTTTCCCCAGTTTCCAATAAATAATATTACCCCACAACCAGGATGTGGGCAAGATCAGGATGTGGGCAAGATCAGGAAACTGTGACCCCAGGGGCATGAGGAATTCCTATGTGATGATGATTGATGCTTTAAAGAGTATAAGATCTGCTTAAGCTTTTCTCTCAGGGTCCTTGCTGAAACCTGCTGCGTCAGGCGGATGCTCGGACCCTAGGCCGGCTAGAAATAAACTTCGCCGTGTGACCTCCTTTGTCTCGAGTGTCCTTTGTCCTCTCGGAAGGTGGCTGGCCTCATACCCTAACAGCTGGAGGCCCCAGCGAGATCGGCCCCTCCCTGAGAGGAACAAATGGCCTCCAATACCGAGGTTTAGTTGAGAAAGACTGCAGAAGGAGGATTGGCCACCTCCGTTTGGAGGGACTTAGAGTCCCCGTCTGAATTTGGTTGAGAATTCTCATTGAGTGAAAGGAAGGGGTCACAGCTCTGGAGGCTCCACTATTGGAAATTGTGGGAGACATCCCCGATGGTCAGGAACCATGCCAGCATCCTCAGTGGATGCCATTTGGGCCGTCTTTGTGTAAGGATCCTGAATCTGGTGTGAATGGAATTGCTCCTGTGAGAGTAGTCTGGTTGACCGGCTGGTACTTGTGCATGTTAGAGAATCCTGTGAGAATTTGTTTGTCTGCTGGAAATTAAGAAAGGTAAGTTTGATGCCCTTTGCTCAGTGGAATGGCCAACCTTTAATGTAGGCTGGCCCCCTCAGGGTACCTTCTCCTTCGACACGATTAAGAAGGTCCAAGATGTCATTAATAGACCTGGTCTTCATGGCCACCCTGATCAATATCCCTACATCCTTATGTGGCAGACCTTAGTAGAGGAACCCCCACCCTTGGCTGCGGCTGTTTACCCATGAGGCACCTACAGACCGGCCCACAATACTGGCCGTGTTGGGGAACGCCCTCACTCCTGTTAATTCCCCTAAGAAGCCTATTCTGCAGGAAGAACCGACTTCCCATCCATCCTTGGTAGACTTAGATTCTGAGGCAAGCCCCCTGCCATATGCTGCTGCTGCACCACTCCGGCCAGAGGCAGCTGCCCCTCCTGTACCTCCCCATTCATCAGCCTCCCCGTCTGTACCCTCCGCCCCGGTCTCTGGACCGGCGAGGGGACTCAGGCCCCGTAGGCAGCAAGAAGAAATTCTGGAGGAGGAGCCCTCCTCCACTTCCACTGCCCCCCCCCCCATCCTCCCAGTGCGGGCTCTGGGCAGTGCTGGTCCTGATGAGGGACACATCTATCAGTATTGGCCCTTTTCAAGTAGTGACCTGTACAACTGGAAAGCCCAGAATCCTCCTTTTTCTGAGGATCCTAGAGGCCTGACTGATCTGTTCGAGTCCATTTTACATACTCACAGTCCTACATGGGATGACTGTCAGCAGCTCCTTAAGACTCTATTTACCACTGAGGAATGGGAGCGGATTCTCACTGAAGCCAGAAAGAATGTCTCCAGCGACGACGGGCGACCAACTACCCTGCCAAACCTGATTGATGACCGTTTTCCCTTAAACAGACCCGATTGGGACTATGGGAACGCAGAAGGTAGGGAGCGTCTCCGGGTCTACAGCCAGACTCTTATGGCAGGACTCCGGACGGCAGCTCGCCGCCCTACCAATCTGGCTAAGGTGAAGACAGTAGTGCAGGGGGAGACTGAAAGCCCGGCCACATTCCTCGAGCGCCTTTATGATGCATACAGACAGTATACCCCCCTAGATCTACTAGCGGAGGTGAATCAGTCAGCCATGATAATGTCCTTCATAAATCAGGCTACCCCTGATATTAGGAAGAAACTATATAAGCAGGAACGACTTGGGGAAATGACTATCCGGGATCTGATGAAAGTAGCTGAAAAAGTTTTTAACACCTGAGAAACCCCGGAAGAACGAGAGGATAGAATCAGGAAAGAAAATCAGGAACTACAAGAAAAGATTCAGAGGGAGGACAGGGAACACCAGAGTAAGGAAAACAAGAAACAGCAGAAGGAAATGGCTAAAATATTGCTAGCAGGGGTCCAAGGTTTGGCTGGACCGGGCTCTGGACGGACTGCCCCCCCATCCCCGAAGAGATAAGCCCCGGTTAGGCCAGGGACAATGTGCCTATTGTAAGGAATACAGACACTGGAAGAGAGAATGTCCCAAGCTCCAGGGTTGCTTGAGGCCAAATAGCAGGCCCAGCAATGACACCCAGGTTCTGTTAACTGAATTGGACAATGACTAGAGGGGACAGGACTCAGAACCCCTCCCTGAGTCTTCTGTAACCATATATGTGGAGGGGAAGCCCGTGAGATGCATGGTGGACACAGGGGCTCAATATTCAGTTCTAAATAAACCTACTGGGCCACTGTCTCAGAAAATTAGTCTCGTGCAAGGAGCCACTGGCTCCAAGGCATATCAATGGACTAGCAAGCATCAGGTGGATTTGGGCTGGCATCAGGCGACCCATTCCTTTTTGGTCATTCCTGAATGCCCTGCCCCCCTTCTGGGGCGCGATCTGCTAACTAAGGTGAGGGCTCACATTCACTTTGAGCTGGATGGTATCAAAGTGATGGATGGACAAGGACAGCCCCTCCAAGTCTTGACTGTGTCTCTCGAGGATGAGCACCACTTGTTCTCCTTGCGGGACCCTCCCCTGAAACCTATTGAGTGGTCCCCTGAAATGACTTATTGGATTCAAACCTTCCCCCAGGCTTGGGCAGAAATAACAGGTGTGGGGCTGGTGAAACATCAAGCACCAGTAATGGTAGAAATCAAGGCTTCGGCTCAGCCCATCTGAGTCCATTAGTATCCCATGTCTTCCGAGGCACGGAGGGGGATTGCCCCTCATATTAACCGCCTCCTGGAGGCCGGAATATTACAGCCCTGCCATTCTGCTTGGAACACTCCACTCCTCCCTGTTAAGAAACCTGGGGGAAAAAACTATAGGCCAGTCCAAGATTTAAGGGAAGTAAATAAGAGGGTCGAGGACATCCACCCCACAGTCACCAACCCCTATACCTTGCTGAGCCTTTTGCCCCCTTCCCATGTTTGGTATACCACTTTGGACTTGAAAGATGCTTTTTTTAGCATAGCCCTGGCTCCCAACAGTCAACACATTTTTGCCTTCGAATGGCATGACGAAAATACGGGAACCCCCGGACAGTTGACATGGACTAGACTCCCACAGGGTTTCAAAAACTCCCCTACTCTGTTCAACGAGGCTCTTAATCAGGATCTGGACTCATATCGCCAGAGCCACAGTTCTGTCACACTTTTGCAGTATGTAGATGACTTGCTTCTGGCAGCTGCATCTGAAGCTGAGTGTTGGCAAGCCAATGGAGACCTCCTCCAGGAGCTGGGGAAGTTGGGCTATCGGGCCAGTGCAAAGAAGGCTCAAATTTGTAGACAAACAGTCACTTACCTGGGGTATGAACTAAAAGAGGGAACCAGATGGTTAACAAATGCCATGAAAGAAACTATTCTCAGACTCCCCATCCCCACCTCAGCTCGAGAAGTTTGTGAGTTCCTGGGGATGGCGGGCTACTGCTGGCTGTGGATATTGGGGTATGCTGAACTGGCAAAACCCTTATACAAGGCAGCTAAAGATAAGGTCCCATGGGCCTGGGGGCCAGATCAACAGAAGGCCTTTGAGGAGCTTAAGACCGCCCTCCTAAGAGCTCCAGCCCTGGTGCTGCCAGACCCTCTAAAGCCCTTCACCCTCTTTGTAGACGAAAGGAGGGGAATAGCGAAAGGGGTACTAATGCAGCGCCTAGGGCCCTGGAAGCATCCAGTTGCTTATCTATCCAAAAGGTTGGACCCAGTTGCAGCAGGCTGGCCCCCATGCTTGCAGATCATAGCGGCAGTTGCCCTAATGGTAAAAGACGCAGATAAGCTCACTTTTGGGCAACATCTGAAGGTGGCAACCCCCCATGCAGTAGAGGGAGTCCTAAAGCACCCTCCAGGTAGATGGATGACCAATGTCCAACTGACTCATTACCAAGGGCTCTTGCTGGATGCCCCCCGAATCTTCTTCTCCGAACCAGTTTCTCTTAACCCAGCCACCTTGCTGCCAAATCCAGACCTGGAAGCCCCCCTACATGACTGTCAAGAGATCATAGCTGAAATCACCCAAGTGTGCCCCGATCTCCAGGACTCAGCCCTACCCAACAGTGAGCTGGTATGGTATACAGATGGGAGTAGCTTCGTATCAGATGGGGTGCGTAAGGCGGGGGCAGTGGTGGTGGACCAAGGTGGGAACATAATTTGGAGTGCCCCGTTGCCCCCGGGGACCTCAGCCCAGAAGGCCGAACTGATCGCGCTGGCAGAGGCACTGGAGCGGGCTGAGGGAAAACGAGTGACTGTTTACACAGACAAGCTGCTACGCTTTCAGCACCGTCCATGTACATGGCACCATCTACCTGGAAAGGGGTTTCATTACAGTGGAAGGAAAGGAGCTACATAACCTCCCAGATCTCTGGGGTAACCTCCCAGAGATCCAGAGAGGATTCTTGGGATAATTGCCCTCACTGGTAGGGTGGCAGCTCCTGGTGGCTCCAGTTCATTGTCATAAAAATTATCAATTTTGTCCTTTTTGGACTCCAAGGTGGTAGTAAAGTGACTGTAAAGAGAATGACTTAGAGCAAAGACAGATGCAAAATGGAGACAAAGATGTCAACTTTTCCTGTTTTTAGTTCACTTGTGGGCTCAAGAAAGAAGCCAATGCTTTTCAGCAAGAGCAACTTGAGTGCCTCTTACAATTCCTTCTAGACAGGTGGGGAGTTTCTAATAAATGGCTAAAGATGGATGTCTATTCTCATTTAGGGCTAGGACAGTTTCCAGTAAGTCACTTTCAAGGGGAAAGAGGTCCAGTTCTAACATGGTTTCCTTTTGTTCACCGAAACAGAGGAGATGGGGAAGTATATTATTTTAATAATTGTTAAAAGAGCCTGACTCAGGTATTGAACTGAGGCAGTAAAATGTGAAAATCAGAGCAGCTAGTCCCCTCCCACCTTCTTCTAGATGTTAAGCTATAAGAATAAAGGGACATAAAGGAGCTATCTGCACATGCCTTCCTCTTTGAGACATTAACAAGCTTCAAGGCTCCTTGAATGGGTAAAAGGGACAGAAAGAGTGAAAGGAAGGTACAGCAAAGAGAATACTAAAACTCACCTATTGTTCCTGTATTTTGGGTAAGCCTAGATCACAACTCCATGTTTTCAAATAATAAAAGACACACATCTTGAGCAACCACAAACATTGTATTAGGGTTGCCAGACTTCCTGGATGATAGGCACTTCCCCAGCATAGAGCATAGAGAATTCACAAAATGGGCAACAGTTTCAGCTTGTCTCCTCCTCTGGAACTTCTAGCCGGAGGTGCCTTTCCCTCTCTTTCAATTTCTCCCTACTTCTACCTAATTAAACTAAAATAAATCCTTCAAGCTTCTGAGATTCCTTTTTGAGACACCTTGAAATGCTTTTCACTTGTGGATCTCAAGTAATTGATTTTGTGTGGAAACCAGGAAGCTGTGTGAACCCCCCATCCACAGAAGATTGGTGAGCCTGAGCCAGGAGTTGTATATACAAGGAATGGAAGGTGGTGGTCCTGGGACATCCCTTCTGCTCTTCTAGCCAATGGTGGCCCTGCGCCATCCCATCTGCTCTTCTAGCCAAAGCACCACAGAGACGGAGGTTATGAGCCCATGTGCTCCACCTTCCCACACCAGGATTTCAGTCATGCAAGTCATCCATGCAGCTGTGTGCACCCCGAGTGCCTAAGGGACATATATGCACGTGCCTGGGCAATGATTCTCAGATTCACATACAGACTGGAGGGACTAGAGTGAGAACTTTTCCTTTATTCTCTACTGGTGCCCCATGTACTTGAAATTGGGACCTCTATGACATTAGCTAAAAAGCAGAGGGAGAGCCATTTCCTTGGGTATTGCTATGGACTCCACTAAGACATTTGGTCTTTTATGATTATAAATTTCTCTTGGAGGCTAACCATTCTACCTTTTCTGTGTTTACTGAGAGAGCCAGATATCCATCATTTTCAGCAGACGTGGAATTCCTTTCACCACAACAGTTTGCTCCTTCACTTCCCAACTGATGTGTAGATTCTGATTCCAAAAATCAGGCTCATAAAGAGCTATTTACTGAGAGCTTAATTTGTTTTCCTCTTATTCTTGTTTTATTTATTTTTATTTTATGGAGTTTCTGGGGTTTGAATTCAGGGCCTCACGTTACCGAGGAAGGTGCTCTACCACTTGAGCCACTCTGCCAGCCCAGTCAGTTATTTTTGAGATAGGGTCTCATGAAATACTTGCAGGGGCTGGCTTCAGAGTGCTATCCTCCTGATCTCTGCCTCCCAAGTCCTTAGAATTATAGTTGTGACCCACCAGTGCCTGGCTTCTAATCCTTGTTTTAATGTGTGTACCAACTGACTCCCTAACAGGCAAGGAAGTTCAGAAGACCCCAGTAGTAAAAGACTGAGATGTTCATGTTTAGGGTGATATGCCCCCCTACAAAGTCTACTCATTAAGGTGTAAGATGTCCGACCTTAAGAATATGGATTAAGTGTTCCTAATTAGGGAACATGAGTGGGGAGGCTTCCTCAATCCCCAGAGATCAGAGCAGCTCTAAGTCCATTTTTTTCTGTTCAGGCACAGATGAAGAGAAAAGATGGGAACCACTGTTAGTATATCAGGAGAGTCTCCACTATGACGTATTTTAAAGAATTGGGACTTTAAATAAGAGGGCTTAAATAAAAAATTATTTTACTTCTGCAATAAAATAAGATTTTCTGGTGACACATAGAGACTCTAAATTTAGAGAAAACTGTAGAATTTTCTATGTTCCAGCAACCACTCCCAGCAGACCTGCTAGCAGGCC